CGTCTGTTTCACTGTGGGAAGTGTTACGAACAGCTGATCGGATCGGCAAAGCGTGTTTCTGGAATATTATGTTTTTGTTGCTGCAAGCGCTTTTTATGCAGTTTTTGCAAAGCTTTATGTGGAAGGAAACCGTGACCGAGGACAAGCTGATGGCATAAGATGTAAGTACAACTCCTCCGGTTTCATATGCAAAACAAAATATTGCGCTAGCTTACATGGTTCAGGTTCTACAGGGATTTAAAAAATAGTTAAATAGTTACACAACAGGGAGCGTGCTGCTCTGACCGGCTTCAATGACTTTAAAAAATAATATAAAATAAAATAAAACCCATTTTTAATGATCGTTGAAAGCCCAGATCGTAATCGTGATTAAAATTCGATTAATTGAGCAGCCCTACTACACTCGTAAGAGCTGTTTCGTTCGCGACCGAAACATCACTAATTGGTGATCAGTGGCCTGGCATTAGACATTAAGATGGAACTATAGAAAAGATCGCCTGTCATTAACATGCTCCCATACCATTGATGTGCAGTGAGCAAAAAGCACCTATCCACTGCTGCAGGTGCTTACTTAAAGGCAGTATAAAGACTGCTGCAATGTAGTCAAAGATGTAATCATGTTGTCTGCAGCTGAGCTGTTGGTTAGTTGTGTTGTTCTATATTATCACTTAAAAATCTATATTTTTTAAAACATTTATTTATTTCCTTCTTTTCTCCTATTACTTTATTCTTCTTTACATCTGGTAGGTGTGTGTATCTGTGCAATTCACTTTCTCTTAAATTACTTTTCAGCATAACATAGCTAACACAAGCAATACAACAAAAACAAAAAACAGTCACAGGGAGGGAAATCTGTTGTGTTCACTTTTGGCCTCCAAATATTGTCATTGTCTCTGATTTTGCCATTGATGTCATCATTGATGTCATCATTGATGAGTTTTGCACTAGATAACAATTTGTCCCTAAAATTAGAGAGCCATCGTAGCACGAACGGAGCAAACCGCAAATGTTCAGTAGTTCGTAGCTGCACTTTTACCAACTAGTTTTCTTTGGAGGTTTGCAAAGATTTTTGACCCAACTACTAAAATTGTCATGAATGAAAAGCAATAACGATGCTTTCTCTCACTGTTGCTGTGTTTGATGTAAGAATTGTTGGGACGTTTTTACTGCACTTTTCAGAACATAACCTGTTGCATATGTGAAAACTTAGTTTGTCAAAAGTACTTGCATAATGATCAGGTACAATGTCTGTACAGACAGCGTACAGATTGATTGAATTATTCCACAGTTCAAAATGATTTTACAGTGACACTAAAGTCACTTAAACTGCAGAGGGCTAATGTAACCAGTTAAATTAAGTGCAAGCGGATAACAGAGCATCAGTAATGGTACTCAACTTTAGTTCCTTATCTCCTGCAATTCAAAATGAGCGAAGGAGTCCAATCTTGTCCCCTGAGGAAACAGAAGATCTTCATGAGCTGCTCTATGCCAAAATCCTGCCGCTGAGCATGCTCTTTTGATTTATTGCGATCATGTTTAGGGGGCAGGAGCATGCATTCATGACTTATGGCAGCACCAGTTGAGGTCCATCTGTGTGCTGTCATTACCAGAAAGTCAACGGCAGATCCAGCTTCCTTCACCAACTTTCCAAGCCATACGTCGTCTCTTTTCTGAATGCTGCCTACTCAGCACACCACCACTGGACTTGGAGGTCATCATAATAAAACTACCAAACCTTCAAAGTTGTGTACATACGCTTTATTGTGAATTGTGGAACTGAAGCCTCTGGCAAAACAGGCAAAGAGATGAAAACGTATCAGTTTTTTGGGTTGCAATTCAATATTGTGTATGCTTGTATTGGTGTTTAAGTCTTTATTTTATAACATAATGTTTCAGGAGAAAATTCGTGTTACAGATTGACTTTAGTTCGACCTTGTTGGGCACTAATCATGGGTCTTGTTAGAAACATCTAGATGTTGGACGACTAGCGTGTATGTTCCATGTCTCTATCCACAGATCAGGGACATGAAAAGGATAGAGGAGGATAAGATAAGCTGCTTTGGAAGATCTATTAACCTTATTCTTCTAAGATTAACACCTCCGTTCTATTTTGTTGTTGTTGTCTCCTGTGTCTCTATTGTTAAAATGCCTTGTTTTCTGTGTGTCTCTGTTTTTGATGCTTTTGTTTCCATGATAAAATATGATACTGACAGAATGAATCCGTATGAATGAAGGAATCTTTGGAAAGCAGAGTCTGCAAATTAAGAAGCGGCCTTCCGGATGATGGACCTCATCTTTCCAAGATTCTGAGGCCCAGTACAACTCATTAACCTTTTTTCTTTGTTTTCTTTATTTTGAACTTCCCAGCTTTCCATTGCCATCGAAGCGTTACACCCCTTCTCCTGCACCAGGGTACAAACAGAGCCCCCTACATGGTAGGCTCCCAGGGAGCTCTTTACTGATCGGACAGCAAGCTGCATGCTTGCGGCTGGCTCAGCTGAAAGCCCGCCTTGCGTTGACACAGATAAATAACGCCATTGCTATTGGTGGCCGAACCAATACACGCGCCCCATTTATATCCACAACACCCCCCTTTCCTGACAGCTGCAGCCATCAGTCTACTAAACCTTCTGAAGGTTGCTAACACCATGTCCCATCCCTTATATAACCCCTATGCCTCTGGGAATCAAAGTTCAGCCCAGGGGCGCTATGGACAGTCCAGTATGCAGGCAGAGAGAGACTCTCATAAGACATCTCCTCATCTTGGGCCTGGGTCCAGCTTTAGCTCTTCTGGAGTTTCATCTGCGACTCCTGCAAAATCTGGGGGAATAATGAGCTACAGGCCAGAAGGGAGTAAGACTTCAATGGAAGAGGACATAAAGAGGTCCATAGACATGCATATAAGCAGAGCCAGAGAGGAGGTGAGAAATCAGCCTGTAAAAAAGAACAGTTGTTTTACCAGCACTCAAAGAGATGAGTATGATTCTTCAGGCAAAGATGTGACTTCCTACATGTTGTCCTCAAACTCTCAAAGACCTCCTGATGTTGCAAGTAGCACTAGCTCCATGGACTGGTTGCCAAGATACAAACGGGAAACTGAGGATGATTCGTCTAAATACTGTTCATCATCTGCTTCATTGAGCTATCAAAGCACTGGCGACAGTAGGTTTAATGCCTCGAATGAAAGAGAGCACAATGTGCAATCCATTCCAGGCTTAGGTGATTATGACTACCCAGTGCCAGACAAACCTGTGGGTTTTGCAGAGTCTACTCGTCCCAAGTACACTTCAGAAACAGCTGTGAACATCCTTATGCAGTTTGGACTTGAAAAAGAGGACCTGGAACATCTGATCTCATACCCCGAAAATCAGATGACTCCTGACAACCTGCCTTTTATCTTACGACAAATCCGCATGGAAAAGGCAAAGAGATCTGCAACAGCAGATCCATCAAAATCCTACTATGATCCTCATTCCACCACAAGTATGAGTGGAAGGGAAAGGTTCAGTACTTCAAGAGGGGAAGGGATGCGTCAGGATGAATTGTCACCTATTGTCCAACCAAGTAAAGTGATTGATTATGGACATACTGGAAAATATACTGGGAGCTTTGGGGATGAAATTGGAAGAAGCAGCAGTGGAGCCAGTAGTGGTGGAAGTGGAGGTACGCTGCTGATGGGCTCCTATGATAGTAGCGGTCACAGTCGAGAACCACTGCAAAAAAGTATGACAGAGGTGAAAAACAGCACCTTGGTTTCTTCCCGTGATCAAGGCAGCTCTTTTACCAGTCATGGCTCAATGCGAAGTAGTGGTCCAGCTCAACAACTGCCAACACAACCAAACCAGCCTTCTCAAGAAATCTTCAAAGGTTTCTCTCTGCCAAAGACAGACACAGACATAAGACCTCTTAAAGCAGAAGTCACTAAAACCCTTCCGTTGAAAAATCCAGAGCCAGATCGCCATTCAGCATCAAAAAGCCAACTAACTCCTAATATAGTTCGTAGTGTGCATCCAAGTCGACCTGGCCTTGTACTCATTGGCAGCAGCAGCAGCGACAGTCACATCAAAGAAAAGAGTAAGACTCACGGGCAAGTATCAAATGTTTCTGAGCAGATGAACAAACAGCAAATGCAGCAGAAGCAGGTACAACAGCAACAGGTGAAACAGACAATGCAACAACCACCACCAAAGCAGCAGATGCAGCAACAGTTGAAGCAACAACAGTCGCAGCAGCAGCAGACGGAGCAGCAGCAGATGCAGCAGCAGACGCAACAACTGAAGCAGCAGACGCAACAACTGAAGCAGCAGCAGCAGCAGACGCAACAGCAGCAACTGGAGCAGCAGCAGACGCAACAACAATTAAAGCAGCAGCAGCAGATACAACAGCAGCAACTGAAGCAGCAGCAGCAGCAGACGGCCCAGGTACCTAACCTGCCGATTGGGTTGCAGCAGATGCAGAATCAGCCAGCTGTGCATATGGGACAAGCTTTGCAGTCTCAAGTTTTTTCGGCTGCAAAGCCAGTTCCACAGCCGTCCCTCATGCCAGGGCTCACGATGCCCGTTCCTCCGGGTCTCTCGCCGCTAATGCAGAACCTCGTGAATTTCATTCATATACCGCAGCCCGCTTCCACGAAGCAGCTTCCAGCAAAGGTAGAAGTGACAGGGAATATCCCAGTGCTGGCCCAGATGCAAGACTACACTGCCACTTCACCTAGGGTCTTTCCTCATACCTGCTCTCTATGTAACAAGGAATGTACTCTGATGAAGGTAAGTGGAAGATTGTTCGATGTTTTTGCTTTCTGTCGGTTTTTATTTATTTGACATGCAATGTTTTTTGTTTTGTTTTTTATTTGATTTTGGATCGAATTATAGGACTTTGGTTTGGGAAAAACTTAATGTATGCTACTTTAAAGTTTATTTGTTTGTTTTGTTCACTATTCCTGCATGATGGTGACTATAGGAAGACTACCAACTTGGCTTGCAAACATTTGGACAAATTTTTCACATATTTCTGCAATTCAGTATTCTGTACCAGAATTTCTGAAGGATTACAGCGCAGACTAAACTTAACTATATGTCTATCAGCTATTGTAATTAAAAAACACTACCAATAAGAGACCTTCAGAATCTTCAGTGGTCTGTACTTGCAATTGATAGATTTAATCTCTTTTAAATTGACATAAACTGATGCGAAGACATTCAAGG